ATTCCATGATGATGATCAAAAAAAGTTTGCAAGCCTCCCCTTACAGATGAGAGAGACAGATATTTCAATGTATCTACTTTATTGAGTCAACTCTCAATTTCACGCAGCGCAGAAAAAATCCTGATCTAGCTTGATACGGCGTATCATTTTAAAAGTAAATAGGTGAGGACAGTAATAAACTTAATCTTTCCACATTATCATCGTTATTTTGAAAATATATCGAAATGAAGAAGGTAAACTGCTGCACGTCACATTTTATTTTCATAGCTCACTGCGTTGTCAGTCATTCGATTTTCATTTTTCATCTTCTGCATTTACATAGAAATTTTATTACTGTCGCGAAGTTCACTTTTCTGCAAGAGCGACTAATTATTTTTCTCATTTTTTCTCTTAGTGCGACACTAAAAGTACACTGCAATTACGAAAGCGTTCAATTGAGGCTAATAAAATGAAATTGTGAGTGAGTGAAACTCGAACGTAATTTTGTCTTGAAAGGTTATAATTGAGAAGTTGCTCTATTCCAATACCCGTGCGAAAAAGAAATTGAATAGCTCTATCCTCTCGTATCATCGATCGTTTGCTAAATTACGCCTCTCTTCCTCTGCAATTCGTTTCTCTCTCCGGGTGATTACAGAAACGCTCCAATTGGCCATTTATTTCATTTTTCATTTTTGTCTACAATTAAAGTTTGACCATTAATTCAATTCAATCTCTATGTCAGTTTATGACGATGCTGATGATGATGACAATGATGACAATGAAGAAAAGTAACACAATCATTGTGATGAGTGACGCCGGTTTAGCATGATTGATTGCCGAAACATGTCATGAATAAACATCATTAAATTATAAATACTAATTATGTATTCACTGATTTACATAATCAAACGTTCCATCATAATTCAGTTGATATTTAGGAAACAGGTGAATGAATTCTCAATGTAAAGATGAAATAACAGTGATTACACGACGAAATTATCGGTTAAAGTTTGCTAATTTCGAGATCAATAAATTTCATATTTAAAAAATATTCATTAAATTCAAACTTAGTATCGTAGAATAATGTTAAAGGAATAATAACTGTCAATTTCAGTTGCGCATCCAACGTCAAATTCATTTCATTTGAAGAAATTTTTCAAATATCATGCATCTGTTACGTAAGGAGAATACGATCGCAAGATAGATGGCGAACACTAATAGTTGAACAGAAGCAAAGAAATCTCGCAACGTAATCTACATCAGATTAAGCATGGGCGCGTTCCTCAGACCAGACTTAATGGCTAGAGCGTTAGCCAAGCCATTATCTTGCTGTACGAAACTGGGGAAACAGCCATAAATTAAAACCTCTCTCACTCTAGCTCTCGCTAAACTCTAACTAGTGGCACCATACCAAGTAAAAAGCACCCGGCGAGTATAAACAAAAAAATAAAGGAGATAAAGGAGGGAGAGAGAGAAAGTCCATCGCCCATTGTCGAGTCCCTCGTAAATCGCACAAGCTCGCGAGCAAACTCTATAGCTGGCAATGGGATTATTATATAATATATAGACCTCACACGCAGCTGAGGAGGGGAGAAAGACGAAGACGAATTAAGATTGTGCAATAGAGTGGGCAGGTCATCTCGTCTGTCGAAGAAAGTACGTAAGCCAATTCGTGCTTCTCAATAATTGAGATTAGGTTATTTCCAGAATGGGGGTATCACTAATTATTAATTCATTAGTGTGACGTGTGTTTTTTGCCTGCACTACTGATTGATATCGACGAAACAAATCAATGACTCTAAACGATCGAATGATGTGTGTACATATGTCTCAAACAAGCTATCTCGAATGTGTACACGCATGGATTAATTGTTCATGGTTATAATGAAATTGCAAACCAATCAATTGAATGGAAGCAGTAGCGTGACATAGCAATTTAACATGACATAACAAAGCTAGAGTATCAAGCGAACGCAAATCCGCATGCCTTAATAAGATAGATAACATAATATCATTAATTCACATGCGAGAATTGATGTAAATCTCAGCAGCGCTTATTGAGTTTTCGAAACATATGTTAAACGTACCGTGGTAACTCACGCAACAGTCCACGAATTAGCGTACATAAACATTTACAGTAATGTAGAGCATTACGGTAGAAAAAAAAAAGAAAATATCTTTCGGCGGGCAAGTAAGAGAATCAAACAGCTGAGCTAAAGCTCGCAGAAAGTTTCGTTGGACGAGATGAGACCTTTAGCGTAGGATCCGATAGCTAAAACCGAGCGTACCCGTACGAGCCTAAAGCTTCCGCTATTATTTCGGCGGGAGGCTCATCATCGTACACCGCTATAATTAACTGAGGCTGCGCTATATAATACCGATAGGAAGAGACGCTGCTGTATTTTTGAAAAAGGATCTCCCGTTCGCCTTGTGTAAATAACAATGCGTCTTTAGAAAAATTTCTTGGATGCGTTCTGAGGATTGCGTGCATTGTGAATAAACTATGCATTTACTTTTCCTCTTGTATTCTCTATCTGAAAAATGTGAAAAGTTTTCGGACCAAGACTACAAACAAATAGAAATTAGTTTTCTTCAGTCCCGAAACCAAAGCAAACAGCTTCTCTATCATTAATTACCGCTGATGAAGAAATTGAAGCAGCGAGCATGAAATCAACGCTTTTATTGAGATAATCAAGCGCAAAGTAAACTTGAACTGCCGTAGCCAGATTGTTCGCAACAACCGAGAAGAAAGAAAGAAACAAATAGAGGAATAGTAGCAAACATAGACTGCGAGCCTGCGGATCTCTTTCCGAGGAAATTTAATTGCCTCGGATCCCCGGGCAAACAGTGTAAGCCAGTGATTAAGTTCGCTTGGGTGTATCTATCCTTATTAAGTCCCTTGCGCGAAGATGCACACGCTAAAGCCATTGTTGCTGCGTTGTATACCTGAACTACAAGCGGGATGTGCACAGAGAAAAATTATTTATTCCAAAATTTCGCGTAAAAGTATAAGAAGCGAAAAGAGGCTGTAGCCAGTCATCGTGCCGCGAACGATCCACTCACATAGTGGAGTTGCGAGCAATCAAGCGACGTAACCGCGTCGCCTAATGAGCGTGTCGCAGTAACAAAAGACCATAGGCAGGTAGCAGTGAGCGGTTGCCGATCGTGAAATCAATTACGCCGCCCGCGCGTGGTCTTTCGTTATCTCCTCGAGCCAACGGCACGTGCATTAAATCGCCACTTTGATTTACTCTCTCGGTACTATAGTAGGTCGAGGACGCATACTAGCGAATTACATATCAAGCGATGTGGTGACTAATCATTGAAACTACCATGATCGTTGACGCGCAATTACGAGGGAGGTGGGCTTATTCAACTGTCGGAATCAAAGTTGCTTCAATGCTCTGCGATTTTCTAATAGATAGGAAGGAAGAAACATGTTTTACGGTTATCACTTCGTTATCTTTCGCTGCTTACCCACCATTGTGCTAGCTTGGCAGTCTCCAAAATGTGATTCTTATTAACGATGCAGCAAGCGCAAAACGTATAAAACTTTAATCGGGATAAACGGAAAAATTGAATTTTTCTCTTGTCAATTTGCTCAAGCAGTTATTAACGCTGATTTTACTTCGCATTAAACGTTTAAATGCCCCGCAACGAATTTTCGCTGTATGGCGAGGTTGAGCATTTCAACACGGAAAATATGACCCACGTACGGTGCGGGCCGACCACAACGTATTAAATGACATGAACGAAGATTAGTATCCGATAATTTCACGAATGTCAGCTAAATTTATAGGGAATATAATCGTTTGGATAAACGCATATGTATTTCGTGTGGCTACATTATTTTAGCAAGTCATGCCTTTAAATACTGAAGCAAGGCTTCATTTTTTAATGAAATATTTAAACGTATTTCAGTCACTCGAATGCAACTCGCATAATTGCTAAAATCTTCAGATTGTGTTTATTGTTTATAGAGTTTCATAGTGACGTTCGCACGCCTATAGGTATAAAAGAAAACATGACAACTCGGGAGCTGGCGTTTTAATTCGAAAATTTGACGAGGAAAAAGAGAAAACAGCACTCGCGAAGCGCGCGCCCGCGTCGCTTGCAGTCTAAAAGTAAAGCTCTCAGGCGCGAGCGAGCGCGCGTGTCTGTCGCGTTTTTCGTAAAATCTATTGTGCAAGCTCGACGTCGTGTGCAGCGCGCACGGCAGACTTGCCCGGCACAAAAAGTACACGCATCCACGCTTTTTCGGCGAATACGCTCCATTACGCTCGCACTGATTCTAGAAGCTGAAAGCCTACTTTTAAAAAGATGCCGCCTTAGAACACTTACGTTCAACTGGGACGTTAGCTTGAGCACGTTCGACTAGCGCACCGAGAAAAACCCGACGACGTTAACTTACTCTTGCAGAAACAATTTTTGAAGCTTATCGCCATGAAAAAATAATTACGATTTACGAAAATAAATAACATGTGAGAGATTCTTTATTCGCTAAAGTTTATGAGACGCAAATATTCTCAAATGTAATATGAGGTTATCTAGAGTAATTATTAACCAATTTTTCAAACATCAATCTTCAACCTCACTGGTGCATAAAAATGAACCACGACCAAATAACTAGTTTTAAATCGTAGCAAAGGCGTGCTATTACCATTCCGGAAATGCGATTTCATAGGAACAAAACTTTAATCATCTTATCGTTATACATTGAGTTTCATAAAATATCTCTGGCAGTCTGATTAAACTTGAGCTCTCCGGGTCTGTAGCCGTGTGCTCTATAAGAATCGCGCACAAGTGTCAGTCCTCGCGAGAGATGAAATTATTGACTATTCGATTGATTTTCATTAATATTTACGAGCGTTCATCTATTTCATGATTCTCTGATAGATCACATCCCTAGCTTTAATATCGATGACAATTGACAAGGCAATTTGAAAAATTCGAATGTTTTGAAAATCAATTGTAAAAAAACCGCCTGAATGCGAAGAGAAAATATTTATGAAGAAACTCACCTTTACGGGGCACTCGAGATAAGAAAGTTAGAGAGTTGTATAATCGGATTTCTTAAGTGCTGACCAACGGCATTTTACCGCGTCAATAACTCGCCAAATGGTACTCATTTTGAAACTTTGTCCAAGCTAAACGAGTAGACATTACTATTATTTATCCAACCGATGATCTGAAACAATTATGAAGTTCGCTGTATTCATTGATGGTGGTGGCTGTTTTATTTTATTTAATATTTGTATAAAAATTGGAATAAAAAATAAAAGAAGGTTCTCTTTGCTTGTGGCTACAGCTGTTAGAGATTTGTTGAGAGAAAAATGTGTGTTCAAAATAATAAAAATCATTATTGCAGTCGAAGGCAAATTGAAAATTTCGTAAGAAGACATAAAACTTTCAAATTATAAAAATACTAAACTGAACAAACGCATGCAGAGGTAAAAAGAGAACGTAGAAGGCTCACAACCAAGAGATGATATGTTCGTATAGCGTATGTATGCGCTATATACAGGATGCACGCAGAGTAATTGGTAGTTCCGTGTTATAGCTAAAAGTGTCATCGATATACGCGTGATACAGAGAAACTCCGGCCTGAAAGCTGATTCGAATCGATGCCGTGGAAAATATTCCAATGGCGCCCTTCACCACGCTTGGTGTAACTTTTTTTTTTCTTCGTAGCAATGGGTATTGAATGGCGGAAAAAACATTGCATACGCATTACTGCAATTTCTTTTTATGATGCTATAAATCGAACGTACTACACGTTTCTTATATCGCTTACGTGAGTAATGCAGTGGAGATTGAAATGTCTTGCTCGCGCATGTTTGACAAGGAAACAGAATGAAAATATTTCTGAAAAGGAAGTATTTAGATTGAAACGTTTCTTTCGAAATAAATATCTGCGAATCCAAAAGTAGACAAATTGTTATTCGTAAGTCCTTCTGTACGTACTTAAATAAAATTGAATGATTTCAATTGGAGTGCAAGCAAGTCTTTTTGAAGATTCGATTAAACAAAAAATACGTGAGTCACAGAAGTGATATGTGCACAATCCGAAAATAGATATTAAAAACATCACATGAGCCAAAGATCGAAAGGAGCTACCATCTCTACAAGGTCCTTATAAATGCTTGACAAATCTCGAAATTACTAAATGATAATAGAATTTCCCCGAGTTAGGAGATACATCTTATATTCAATATTCACTTTAAACGCCTACGTCATTTTTACTGCTGCTGGTAGACCCTCTTATCGACTTGTGTCTTTTCTTCTTCTGAATCCATAAATACGTGGTTATTCGTAGGGGCGCCGCGTCACATGAAAATTGTGTCTGCACGCCCACACATTTCGCGTAGAACCCGAAAACTACCCTCCTATTGATGGTTGCTATTGCTCGTTGATTGATTAAGAAGTTCATAAGTCATTTGTCGAGAGAGATTTTCTACTCTTTCCGAAAATTTGATTTTCTTTTGCCATCAAGGAATTTTTGAGATTATTAATGGCATCGAAAAAATGATTGGCTTGGCTGAAAAATTCAGATCAGAGCTTATCGGTATAATTCTCATGCGATTTAACTTTTCCAAAGTCAATTCGAGTGATCTATATCTCTTATAATCACCGTCTAGAGTAAAATATTATTAATTTATAATTGCTTTTCAAATAGCGACATTATCATCCGGCAACAAACCATTATCAAACGACTGTTTTGTTCGTGCGGAAATCAATGCTCGTGTACGCAAGCTTTTAGTCTTTCCCGTGCAACAATGTCCAATACGAAAATGCCAACTGCTACTAATGCGGTTTTGAACAGAGATTACACTCAACCCAAAATCTACCAAATGAGACATCTGCGTATGACATTTTTCACAGTTCACTGCAAACGTTATATTTCGCTTTTAAAACTAATAAATACGCGTGTAACGTATTTAATGCTGTGGCTACAAAATGTGGTTGTCAAGCTCAAGTTTAATGGAATTATCCAAGTGACGGTTTCGTGGGCGAACTTTGCTCGCCTATTCACAAGATCGATAGGGATTTCCAACAAAAAGTATAGTATTAGTTCAATAGTTCAATGATATATTGATTGGAGGAAAAAAATCCAATTTATTTTAGAATTGAGAAGTTTGAATGAATAATTTATTCAAGTTATAAATCAGTTTATTATATAGTACCAAAGATATAATAAATGTAAAGATCAATAAAGAAAGATTTATAAAAATAAAAGTAAAATAGAGGTAATTTTTTCTTTAACGATAACGCTGTGAAAAAAGTTCGAGGTAAACTATTAATTGAGTGTGTGCTAAACAAAATAGCTATAAGTATTAATTTCGGTTTGTATACGAGTACATAGTACTTCGGACATAGCGGCAACTTTGTGCCAGCGGAAACAATTGCCTGATACTAGATCGATACAATTTGTTCGATATAGCAAACCATTTCAACTGAGATTACACTACAATTGTTGAAAGTACAATGAAAATCAAACCCTGCTGTAGAACCACCAATGAAGCCAATATATATCGAAACAAAGAACCTTAAGAAAGAAGAATTGCAAACAACTAGTGAAGGATCGGAATCAAAGGCAATCGCCCGAGAATCAATTTGTATACTTCACTGATTCTAGATTTCTCCGGTTGCTGAGTCAAAGTATCGATAGAATGGAAACAAAACTCAATGGATTTTCGGAGGATAGTTAACATATTTTTTAATACCTACAATGTATTTAATTTTCTACGTTTTCGAATATTTAAAAATAAAATTTATTGTTGAAATAATTTAGTTTGAAAAATCATGAATAAGTTCGATATCATCTCACGTAGTGCCTTAGCAACAACGGTACGTGATTGTGAGAGCAACAATATACGCCGTAATCAAGATAATAGTAAAATTGCAAATAACTAAATGTTCGAATATATAAGGATAATGGTTGATCGAGGGAGAATTTGGTTGCATTGTCAGCTAACTAAACTGGCACCACAACTACTAGATCACCTTGCTTCTCGCTTGCGCGCACGCATCGATAGTTACACGTATATACATATCCCATTTGGCGTTGCGAACACTCTCTCTCCCTCTAGCAGTTGGTGCACAGCAAAACTAGGAAATCGATCGCGAGCTATATATATGCGGCTCGTTCTCTGCGTACCAGCGATTACTCGATTAATTATTTAACCAAGCAGCGCGACGAATTTCGATGTCATTGTTTTAAATGTCACCTCAAGGCTACATCGACTCTCTCTCTCTCTTTCTCCCTATCTCTTGATTCATTATTAGCTAATTCAATTTTCTAATTAATAATCACCTCCGTTTCGTGTTCGCTGACGGCAATATATGTCAATTGTGTTTCCGGATCTTCTCCGTCTGACATTTCACGCTGCGGAACTTGTTTGAAATTTCGAATGTTTTTCAAAATAGCTACGAAACGCGTTTAGCTTTTTATTATTTTTACCTTTGAAGATTTTTGCCGACAGTCAAAAGACTACGCTCATACCCGCTCCAGTTTAATAAAGGGATTTTATTTTAAAATAGTTCTTCGAGCAAAAGTGAAATCTGTGTAAAAAATAAAGGAGGATGATAATGCGCGCAGCATCGTAAAACTACCACACTGAAACTTAAAATGCTAAAACTAAAGGAAAATACAAATGTAAGAAAGGCAGATGTGAGAGAAAAAGTCGGTATTACAGCGTAATGGCGAATCAAATAAAACGCAGGCGACGAACCTTTTTGCTTTTCGCGTTCTCTACCGAGGAATAAAAAAATATTTTCCCATGGCATGGGAAGAATGCAAAATGCGACGTTCTCTCATTTCAGTGGCTCACGCGTGCTATTTTCTCGCTAACTAATTCACGCCAGCGTTGGATGCTTCCATGCCTCTCTTACTTCCTCTTTGCAGCCGACAAAAATAAAGGTCTTTTCGTTTAACTATGCAAATCTCGAATGGAACGCGAAGAGAGCTAACGCGAAAAATAAAAATTAGTTTCGACGCGCACACGAAAGCTTCATTAACTACTATATTTCGCGCGTTTTATTATAAGAGTAATCTTGTGTGAATTTCCTTGGAATTTATTAATTGATTCCATCACCTAGAATTGAGGATTTCCACTTCATATTCGCAATCAGTGGTCTAGAAAACTTTCTGACAGACGCTCGCGAATAATCGCAAAAAGGATATAGGTATTATGTATGTACGTCGTCGCACGAATAATTAACGAATGGCGTTCGCTGTTTTGATTACATTCGTGAAATGATGTAAATATTCATGCGGATTATGGAGGTGATTCGACATGAAATTAGTTTTATTTGAATATTGCAATTATTCTCGCAATCATTTGAGATCGTTTAATTACACTTTTACTCGTATATAAATCATATTTAAATTTCTGGTAAAAATATCTTACATAACACGAACAAATATCCAGCTAGGCGTTGATTAACAGAAAATTTTTCCAGAAATAAAAGATATTAAACCTGAGAAATTCATCTAGTATAATTCGTCATAAAATTTACATCATACTCGAAAGCATAAAGATTCCTCTAGGCGTTATGCAAATCGAAAACAAGATCCAAGATTAAAAAGGGAAAAGGGTATGTGCGTACGCGCAGTGAAAAAAGGATAGCCTCGTAAACAAGCCGTCAACGCTCGAGTCGATAATTAATTGTCGACGAGCGGAGAGAGAGAGAGAGAGAGAGAGAGAGAGAGAGAGAGAGAGAGAGAGAGAGAGAGAGAGAACGTATCTCGTTAATCATCGCAATGATAGTTGCGCAGACCAACTGCTCATTTGTACGGTTGATGACACTGAATTTAATTGACGATTTTCAGTGACGACCTCCCCTTTCACAACATCCTGTCATTTGCGTTTGTTCGACATTATATCTAATCGACCGAAGCTATCACCTACGGTAATGTCCCTCGGATTGTGTGAATGAAATATTTAATCATATGTACGTCTTTAATACATAAAATGGGAGGAGAAAAATCGATGAAACGGATGCCTTTTTGTACGACGGGTCATTTTTTCTTTACCTTCTCGTTCTCGACTTATTTTCGTTTTCTCGTGAATACACAAATATTTAATGATGTAGCTGAACGTTTTTTTAAAACGTGAGAAATTGTTAAAATGATTTGTTATTCAAAACATATACGTACGTATAAAACATTATTTTCTATTTTATAAT